AAGGTTGCACCCTCAACCAATCAGCAGCAAGCACCATTGCCTAGCTGCCACCACCCCTTTCCCGAAATTACATTTAAATGACCTCTAATCTCTGAGCCTTCCAGGAGACTGACTAATAATACCAACTCCCACGTGGTGTGGCCAGCCTTGTGTCAATTAAACTCTTTCTTTACTGTAAGCCATGTTCTCCATGAACTGATTTTGTTTGTGCTGCAGGAACCCATCAGGTGGTTATAGAAGTGGCACAGGCTATGAAAACATTCGTTGTCTAAAACAGAGGGAGATAAAAATTACGAAGTGCTGGTGTACACGAGTGTGTGCTCACTAACATGAGGGGACTAAAGGAGTGTCCCCACTAGATGTTCCTGTTTTTCTGGTGGATCTGGGGAAAAAGGGGTGGGGAGGATGCTGGGGTGGCTATGCAACTCTCACCGAGGGAGGAGTTTGCTGGTATAATGATTATACTTTTGGTTTTTTTTTTGTTTTTTTGAGACGGAGTCTCGCTCTGTCGCCCGGGCTGGAGTGCAGTAGCCGGATCTCAGCTCACTGCAAGCTCCGCCTCCCGGGTTTACGCCATTCTTCCGCCTCAGCCTTCCGAGTAGCTGGGACTACAGGCGCCCGCCACCTCGCCCGGCTAGTTTTTTTTTTGTATTTTTTTTAGTAGAGACGGGGTTTCACCGTGTTAGCCAGGATGGTCTCGATCTCCTGACCTCGTGATCCACCCGTTTCGGCCTCCCAAAGTGCTAGGATTACAGGCTTGAGCCACCGCGCCCGGCCTGATTATACTTTTTTCTTTCTTTTTGAGATGGAGTCTCACTCTGTCTGCCACGCTGGAGTGCAGTGGCAGGTTCTCAGGGTCACTGTAACCACCACCCCCCAGGTTGAAGTGATTCTCCTGCCTCAGCCTCCCGAGTAGCTGGGACTACAGGCGCCCGCCACCTCGCCCGGCTAGATTTTTGTATTTTTTAGTAGAGACGGGGTTTCACCGGGTTAGCCAGGATGGTCTTGATCTCCTGACCTCGTGATCCGCCCGTCTCGGCCTCCCAAAGTGCTGGGATTACAGGCTTGAGCCACCGCGCCCGGCCTAATTTTTGTATTTTTAGTAGAGATGGGGTTACCATCTTGGCCAGGCTGGTCATGAACTCCTCACTTCAGGTGATCCACCCACTTCGGCCTCCCAGAGTGTTGGGATTATAGGCGTGAGCCACCTCACCCGGTCTCTTTCTTTTTTTTTTTTTTTTTTTTGAGCCAAGGCAGGCAGATCACTTGAGGTCAGGAGTTCGAGACTAGCCTGGCCAACATGGTGACACACTATCTCTACTAAAAATACAAAAATTAGCCAGGCATGATGGCGGGCGCCTATAATCCCAGCTACAAGGAAGGCTAAGGCAGGAGAATTGCTTGAACCCGAGAAGCAGAGGCTGCAGTGAGCCGAGATCTCCACAGCACTCCAGCCCAGGCGACAGAGCAAGACTCTGTCTGAAAAAATAAATAAATAAACAAATAAATAAGTAAATAAAACTATGATCAATGCTTGAGCCTAAGAGTTTGAGGCTGCAGTGAACTATGGTTGAGTCACTGCATTCCAGTCTGGGTGACAGAGTTTTGTCTCAAACAAAACAAAACAAAGCAAAACTATGATCAAATACATGTGTATGCCTTTTCTCCTGTTAATCACTTGTGTGGTATTCCTGCCAAAAATGCATCAGCTGAATCTAATCATGAAGAAATATCAGACAAATCTGAATTATGCGACATTCTACTGCAGGGGCCAAGCGGCCCTCTGAAGTTTTGTGGCAAAAAATCAACTTGCAAAAGGCAGAGTAATAGTCAAAAAGGTGTACAAATTTATGTAACATGTACATGTGGGAGCCCTCAGAAGGAAGACCCAAAGATATAGGGGAAAGGTATGATCTAATGCTGATAGACTGAGTGGGGAGGCCCAGCAAGGCCTGTCTAGATTCTTCTTGGCTTCTTGGAACAGGCATTGCTTCCTTCTGGGTGGGGGGCAGGACCCTCTCTGGAATGGGGTCTTATGGCCTATAGTCAAATGAGGTAGGTCAGATCATTTCTTTCTGGCCAGTTTTTACACCAAAAGGTGGAGAGAAAGTTAAGAGTAATATATTTAGGTTTCTTGTTTGTTTGTTTGTTTTGTTTTTTATTTTTGAGATGGAGTCTCACTCTGTCACCCAGGCTGGAAAGCAGTGGTGCAATCTCAGCTCACTGCAACCTCTGCCTCCCGGGTTCAAGCGGTTCTCCTGCCTCAGCCTCCCGAGTAGCTGGGACTACCGGCAAGTGCCACCTCGCCCAGCTAATTTTTTTTGTATTTTTAGTAGAGACGGGTTTCACTGTGTTAGCCGGGATGATCTTGAGCTCCTGACCTCGTGATCCACCTGCCTTGGCCTCCCAAAGTGCCAGGATTATAGGTGTGAGCCACCGCACTCAGCCTATATTTAGGGTTTTATGGCTGGTTTTGGGGGCAAAGGACTCTGTTTTCTATCACCCGCCTTGGGGAGGAGGATTCTAAGGTCTCTGGCTAGCCTTGGGGGAGAATGGGCCTGAGGGAGAGGAGGGCAGAAGGTAAAAACAAACTTGCTTTGTGGGTTGCTTCTGAGGCCTTCATTTTGGGGTATTGTGTTCTGAGACCCAACACTATAAAAAAATGGGCTTATACGCTTCAAAAGTGTTAATGTCAGCCAGCCAGGCGCCGTGGCTCACGCCTGTAATCTCCGCACTTTGGAAGGCTGAGGCAAGCGGATCACATGAGGCCAGGAGTTTGAGACCAGCCTGGTCAACATGGTGAAACCCTGCCTCTAACAAAGACACAAAAATTAGCCAGGTGTGGTAGCGCATTCCTGTAGTCCCAGCTACTTGGGAGGCTGAGGCATGAGAATCATTTGAACGCAGGAGGCGGAGGTTGCAGTGAGCTGAGATCATGCAACTGCACTCCAGCCTGGGTGACAGAGGAAGACATCATCTCAAAAAAAAAAAAAAAAAAAAGTGTTAAAGTCACAGAAGAAAAGTTCTTCGTTCTAGTCTTGTAATTCTCGTGTAAATTTGAAATTATTTCAAAATAAAACTCACCAAATTTAGCTCATCTAAGTCTTTTCTATTCAATGCTGAGTACACCCACTATCATTACATTAAGAGCAATTGGTTTCCTAGAATACTACACCTAGAAGGTCAGCTGTCAAGTAGCCATTTGTTCACGCCACAAAGATTTCCTGAGCACCTTTAGGGGCAGGCACTGTGCCAGGTACAGAGAATAACTAGACACCCTCCCCACTGTTGAAGGGGCCTGAGATCAGCACCTTAATAAGACAAATGAGGATCCTGAGGTCCTAGGGGTTAAGAATGTGTATTATAGTTCTATTATTCAAATGATGAATGTTATGCATCTTTGTAGTTTTACTTCTGAGAAAACCAAACTCATAGTATTACACAGACTACAGACAGGCTAGGCGCGGCGGCTCACGCCTGTAATCCCAGCGCTTTGGGAGGCCGAGGCAGGTGGATAAACTGAGGTCAGGAATTCGAGACCAGCCTGGCCAGTATGGCAAAATCCTGTCTCTACTAAAAATACAAAAATTAGCTGGGTGTGGCGGCGAGCCCCTGTCATCCCAGCTACTTGGGAGGCTGAGATAGGAGAAGCGCTTGAACCCAGGGGTGGAGGGTGCAATGAGCTGAGATCATACCACCTACCACCACACTGGAGCCTGGGCAACAGAGCGAGACTCCGTCTCAAAAAAAAAAAAAAAAAAAAAAAAAGGCCGGGTGCAGTGGCTCACACCTGTAATCCCAGCACTTTGGGAGGCTGAGGCGGGTGGATCACGAGGTCAGGAGATCGAGACCATTCTGGCTAACACGGTGAAACCCCGTCTCCACTTTAAAAAATGCAAAAAATTAGCCGGGCGTGGTGGCGGGCGCCTGTAGTCCCAGCTACTTGGGAGGCTGAGGCAGGAGAATGGCGTGAACCCGGGAGGCGGAGCTTGCAGTGAGCCGAGATCGTACCACTGCACTCCAACCTGGGCGATAGAGTGAGACTCTGTCTCAAAAAAAAAAAAAAAAAAAACAGTGACTACAGATGATTCAACAAATCCGTGAATCTCCCTTGTCCACAATCCCACTGGGCAGAATTGTTTTTTGTTTTTTTGTGGTTTTTTTTTCCTGTAGAGATAGGGTCTCACTATGTTGTCCAGGATGGAGTGCAATGTCACAATCCTGGCTCACTGCAACCTCCACCTCCGGTGCGCAAGCCACCATCCCATCTCAGCCTTCAGAGTAGCTGGGACTACAGGCGCATGCCACTACACCCAGCTAATTTTTTGGCATTTTTTGTAGAGATGGGGTTTTGCCGTGTTGCCCAGGCTGATCTTCAACTCCTGGGCTCAAGTGATACGCCAGCCTCGTCCTCCTAAAGTGCTGGGATTCCAGGCTTGAGCCACGGCGCCCGGCCCTACACGAGGTTTTAACAATATTTAAGTGTGCATTTTCCACTTTGATGACGATAATGGCAAAAGCAAAGAAGTCTGGATTCCAAGACCTCTAGTAACTGCGAGATTGGGGGAAAAAAAATGTCGGGTTTCCCAGACAGAGGACTTAGAGCAGCACTGCCCGCTCGGCCTCATTCTAAGTCCGCGTCCACCCCTTAAACAGCGGGCAGCGCTCACAATCCCACACCCAGGGCCCCGGAGCCCACGCCTCTGCCAATAAAGACGTCATTATTTTAACAAAAGGTAACTAGAGCCTCTCCCCAAAGAGACTTTGGTTCCCGTCCCATTCTCCTCCAATCCGGGTGGATTTGGCAAAAGCCCAAATGACCCTCCCTAGCAATTCCGCAAAGCCCGTCTCCCGTTCCAGGTTCCTAAGTCTCCCCGACCACTCTCATTTCAGAGACACAGACCCGGAAGCGGGGAGGAGCCGGGCGGGGGGGGCGGCAAGCGCAGGCGCAGTCCCTCCTCAGCCTCGTTGTCCCGCCCCTTCCCAAGGCCCCCGCCAACCTGTTCTGGGCGTCGCCGGGTCCTCGGATTTCCTCTTTCCGCCCCGCGTGGTCACGTGACGGGAGAGGGGGCGGGATACAAAAAAGTGTTTTACTTTCCGTCTTCCCGAACGCCCCGCGGGGCAATTTCTTGACCTTTGGAGCCCCTTTCCCGAGGATCCGCTCGGGAGCCTCCCCTGGCCAGGAGCAGGGGATTTGTCTGCCCCGCGACCGGCCCGAGTCACGCCGCGGACATCGCCCCCTCTGTCTGGGCGGTTGTCACTCACGCGCCGAAGGGCCGCAGAGAAAGAAGGGGCGGGCCGGGCGAGCGGAGGCGGGGACTTGCGCGATTCTGAGGCTGCCTCATAGGGCCCGGCCGGCGCTGGAGCTGCGGGTTGAGGTTGTCACTGCCACCTCCGTCGGTGCTTACTTCGCTGCCAGCTGGTCGTCGCCATGAACCCGGACCTGCGCAGGGAGCGGGATTCCGCCAGCTTCAACCCGGAGCTGCTTACACATATCCTGGACGGCAGCCCCGAGAACACCCGGCGCCGCCGAGAGATCGGTGAGGGCGGCGGGCGAGACCTCCCTCCTTTCCTGAGAAAAGCTGGAGACTCCCTCGATGCGGAGTCAGGGGCGCTATGGGGCCCAGGCCCTCTCGCCCAGCGTTAGGGGAGCCGGGACCCCCACTTCGAGGAACAGCCTGTGTTCCTGGTTGGGGGATATCGCCATTCCCGAGATATGTCCGCGACTCTGAAGCCTATTGTGATTCAGGGAGGGTGGAACGGAGCCCCGAGTGTCTGTCTGCCTTTTAATGCCCTTTAACCCCCTTCCAGAGAACATGATCCTGAACGACCCAGACTTCCAGCATGAGGACTTGAACTTCCTCACTCGCAGCCAGCGTTATGAGGTGGCTGTCAGGAAAAGTGCCATCATGGTGAAGAAGATGAGGGAGTTTGGCATCGCAGACCCTGATGAAATTATGTGGTTTAAAAAGTAGGTATGCCTTAGCACAGAGCAAGTGTTGTTAAGCCTCAACTTTAAAGCTGCTGTCTATGGTGGCCTTTCACCACCGTGCTTGGCGTTTGAAGATGCAAACTGGCATATTTTCATGCCACTTTATGAAGTTATATATGTGCCCGGGCGCGGTGGCTCACGCCTGTAATCCCAGCACTTTGGGAGGCCGAGGCGGGCGGATCACGAAGTCAGGAGATCGAGACCATCCTGGCTAACATGGTGAAACCCCGTCTCTACTAAAAATACAAAAAATTAGCTGGGCGTGGTGGCGGGCCCCTGTACCCTGTAGTCCCAGCTACTTGGGAGGCTGAGGCAGGAGAATGGCGTGAACCCGGGAGGCGGAGCCTGCAGTGAGCCTAGATCCCGCCACTGCACTCCAGCCTGGGCAAGAGTGCGCGACTCCGTCTCAAAAAATAAATAAATAAATAAATAAATAAAGTTATATGTGTGGAAAATAATGTGATTACTTTTGTATCCAAGCCTTTTCGTGGGATGACGTGTTTGTAGAATGTTGATAATAAATGGAAATGCAGGAGTTTTCTCGAGTACAGTTTCAAGGATGTTGTAAAAGCATTATTCTGCCCAAGCAACTCAAATTTGACTGATTTGAATGCAGCATCATTTTGCTCTTTGTAACGAGGACGGCTAAAATTCTGAATCTGGAAGGATTTTTTTTTTTAGTTGCACGTCCATTTAAATATTTTGGAGCAGTAGCAGATTATATTATATGGTAATGTGGACCTAGATGAAGAATAATCAGTCACACCTCTGAATGAATAGAAAGTCTAAGAACCCAGTAGTTCTGAATCGATGACAGCGTCTTGTGCATATGAGAGAGACGCCATAAAAACCTGCCTTGGTTCTAGTGTGGAAGAGAGTATATCCTTTTTTCATACCATGTGTTTTATTGTGTTTTTTGTTTGTTTTTGTTTTCGTTTTTGTTTTTTGAGACAGAGTGTCGCTCTGTCGCCCAGGCTGCAGTGCAGTTGTGGGATCTCGGCTCACTCCAACCTCCACCCCCCCACTTCAAGCCATTCTCCTGCTTCAGCCTCCGGAGTACTGGGATTACAGGCGCCCACCACCACGCTTGGCTAATTTTTGTATTTTGAGTCGAGATGGGGTTTCACCATGTTGCCAGGCTGGTCTCAAACTCCTGACCTCGTGATCCACCCTGCTCCACAAGGAGCGGTAAAAATAAATAAAAATAACGATTTTGGGCCGGGCACAGTGGCTTATGCCTATAATCTCAGCACTTTGGGAGGCCGAGGCAGGTGGACCAGCCTGGCCAAAATGGTGAAACCCTCTCTCTACTAAAAATACAAAAATTAGCCGGGCGTGGTGGTGCGCTCCTGTGGTCCCAGCTACTTGGGATGCTGAGGCAGGAGAATCCCTTGAACCCGGGAGGTGAAGGCTGCGCTGAGCCGAGATCGTGCCACTGCACTCCAGCCTGGGCAACAAAGAGAGACTCTGTCTCAAAATACAAAAAAAAAGGACATTTTTGCCTTAACCTAAAGAAACACTGTTACATGATCCTAGTACAAGATTATTTTGACCTATAGCATTTTTTCACATTTATTCTTAGGCATTTTCTCTTTCAGTTTCTCCATTTTAAAGAAACACCAGTATTTTCATCAGTAAAGATTAAATCATATGAGTGGTATATAGACTAGAACCAAGCTAAATAGAATATGTTGCACGTTCTGCCTTTATGGTAATAATGGTCACTGCCTCTAGTGCCTTTGGTATTGATATTCAGCTTGACTTGGGTTATTGTTGTGAAGATGAAATGGTTTACTCTGGTCCTTTGGACTTTCCTCAGAGCTCCACTCAGTTTTAGCCGTAAAAATTTTGTTTATTTATTTTTGGTAGTTCAAATCAGCATACTTCTAAATGGTCTTTTTTGTTTTTAAAGTCTGTAACTCATGGCTATGGGGATACTGAGATAGAGTAACTCCTAGAAGATTATGTTACTGATACCTGTGTTGGGTTTGTAAATTTGAAAAAATTAGTAAGATTTTATTCCTTCTAGAAATGTCAGGAAAGAAGTTTTTGTGTGTTTGTGCGTGTGTGTGTGTTTGTTTTTGAATAGGTGGTGCAATACATTTTAAAGTTGTTGGTAGATGATTTCATAACCTGTGACCTGTTCATAATGTGTAACCAGACTCGAGTGAGGTCACAATGAAATAGAATAAAGTCCTTTATGTGGATTGAAGATTCATGGACACCAGCAAGTTACTTTGTGTATGATTTTTCATGTGAAGTATCAAAGTACAAACTTTAACACACCCTTTGACGGGCTTCCAGTGTCCTTAGGATATGACAAGGAGATCAGTTTTTAAGTTAGAGAAGGGGTTTGTAAATGAGTCCTGGCAATTATTGCATGCCATTGAGTTAAAGCCTCGGTTATATAATCTCATCGATTATAACTCACACCAGTGTTTCGTGTACACTAAGAAAGAAAGAATGCTGCCTGTTAACCATGGCATGCTATTAATTGTGAAATACATCACTTACCTTTCTTCCTTTCTTCCTTCCTTCCTTCCTTCCTTCCTTTCTTTCCTTTTCTTTCTTTCTCTCTCTCTTTCTCTTTTTCTCTCTCTCTCTTTCTCTCTTTCATTTTTGTTTGAGACAGGATCTTGCTTTGTTGCCCAGGTAGCAGTGTAGTGGCACAATCATAGTTCACTGTAACCTCAAACTCCTGGGTTCAAGTGATCCTCCCACCTCAGCTTTCCAAAGTGCTGGGATTACAGGCATGAGATACTGCTCCTGGCCCATTGGATTTCTTTTCTTTTTCTTTATCTTTTTTTTTTGAGTGGAGTCTCTCTCTGTGGCCCAGGCTGAAGTGCAGTGGCGGGATCTCAGCTCATTGCAACCTCTGCCTCCTGGGTTCAAGCAATTCTCCTACCTCAGCCTCCTGAGTAGCCAGGACTACAGGCAGGCTAATTTTTTGTATTTTTAGTAGAGACGGGGTTTCACTATATTGGTCAGGCTGGTTTCGAACTCCTGACCTCAAGCAATCTGCCCTCCTCGGCCTCCCAAAGTGCTGGGATTACAGGCAGGAGCTACTGTGCCTAGCCTGGATTTCTTTTTTTTTTGAGATGGAGTTTCGCTCTTGTTGCCCAGGCTGGAATGCAATGTTGCGATCTCGGCTCACTGCAACTTCTGCCTCCTGGGTCAAGCGATTCTCCTGCCTCAGCCTCACGAGTAGCTGGGATTACAGGCATGTGCCACCACACTCGACTAATTTTGTATTTTTAGTAGAGACAGGGTTTCTCCGTGCTGGTCAGGCTGGTCTCGAATTCCTGACGTCAGGTGATCCACCCGCCTCGGCCTCCCAGAGTGCTAGGATTACAGTCGTGAGCCACCGTGCCCGGCCTGGATTTCTTAAATGCTAAAATGAGGGAGAAGAATGCTGAAATTGATGAAATAAGCAGTATTTTTGAGAATTTGGGGCATGTACTGGTTTTGTTTTGTTTTTGTTTGAGACGGAGTTTCACTCTTGTCCCACAGGCTGGAGTGCAGTGGCATCATTTCGGCTCACTGCAACCTCCACCTCCCGGGTTCAAGCGATTCTCCTGCCTCAGCCTCCCAAGTAGCTGGGATTACAGGTGCCCACCACCACGCCCAGCTAATTTTTGTATTTTTAGTAGAGATGGAGTTTCACCATGTTTGCCAGGCTGGTATCAAACTCCTGATCTCAGGCGATCCGCCACCTCGGCCTCCCAAAGTGCTGGGATTATAGGTGTGAGCCACTGTGCCTGGCTCACACCTGGTTAATTTTTAAATTTTTTGTAGAGACAGGATTTTATTATCCTGGTCTTGAACTCCTGACCCCAAGTGATCCTCTCACGTCGGCCTTCAAAAATGCTGGGCTTACAGGTGTGAGCCACTGTGCCTGGCCTATTTCTTGGACATTTTTGTATGTTTATTTCCTCTTTATATACATATGAAATAGAATACTTAATACACTTAAAAGTATTTATAGAAAAGTATTCTTGGCAGGGCGTGGTGGCTCACGCCTGTAATCCCAGCACTTTAGGAGGCCAAGGTGGGCAGATCACGAGGTCAGGAGATCGAGACCATCCTGGCTAACATGGTGAAACCCTGTCTCTACTAAAAATACAAACAAAATTAGCCGGGCATGGTGGCAGGCACCTGTAGTCCCAGCTACTGGGAGGCTGAGGCAGGAGAATGGCGTGAACCCGGGAGGCGGAGCTTGCAGTGAGCCGAGATCGTGCCTTTGCACTCCAGTCTGGGCGACAGAGTGAGACTCTGTCTCCAAAAAAAAAAAAGTGTTCTTATTTATACAAATAGAAAGTGTATAAAAACATTTTGGTTTTAGTAACACAACTGTTAGAGAATTCTGTGTTTGCCTTTGAGAGATTAAGTTACACATTTATCTAATCAGGCTTTTGGGCATGGTACATTTTATGAAATGTGTAACTTATGTATTAGAGTTATACAAGTAACTCTTGTGTTGCATAAAATACAGAGGAGTAAGCTGCTGCTGTAAGTTCCTTAGAAATTGACTCATCTTTTCTGTTCATACTCCTCCTTTCTCTTATTTTCCTCTAGTTTAAATTAACATAAACAATATAAAAATCATAGAATCTGAGGGTTAAAAGGCATTTCAGATGTTGGCTAGTAGTCGTCTCTTGGCTGTTCAGATGAGTATGTCTTCAGCACCCCTGAAAAGTGATGTCCTGCCCTAGGCCTATGCCTGACAACTGTTGGTGGCAGAGAAAACTTTTTTTTTTTTTTTTTGAGACGGAGTCTTGCTCTGTCTCCCGGGCAAGAGTACAGTGGTGTGATCTTGGCTCACGGCAACCTCCGCCTCCTGGGTTCAAGTGATTGTTCTGTCTCGTCTCCTGAGTAGCTGGGATTACAGGCACCTGCCACCTCACCCAGCTAATTTTTGTATTTTTAGTAGAAACGGGGTGTCACCATGTTGGCCAGGCTGGTCTCGAACTCCTGATCTC